TTACAATGTATTAAGATTCACCATGAAAATTCTTAGTATAATTCGCCGACATATCAGACTAACTTATTTTATTGCAATATCGCAACTATTACAACAAAATAATGTGACATGTGAATCAAATGTTTGACACTTGAAGTGTCATTTGTACAAAGGGCACTTTACCTTTTCAAAATACAGACACAGTTCAATCTTTAATTAATTGTTACAAAAAGAGTAGATACATGAAACAGATAATATCATAGCATTACGACTCTACAATGTAGCAAAACGTAGAGGTTAAGTGGTCCATCAAGTATTTGGGAAATACCAAATTGTTGGTTCTCCAAATTGAGACCATATTACATTCAAGTGACATTGCTACAATGCCCAAAGTATATTGTATTCTTTTGTAGTTGATTTATTTACTTAATCGGAATTTCTGTGTAGACATAGATTATTTTCCAACTTCAACTATTCACATTAATAAAGCGAACTGGAGCTTTAAACACAGAGAAAAGGTTTCAAATTCCTTCAATTTCAGAATCGAATTTCTTTAACCAAGTCTCTAATTAGGGACGTTAATTAACCACCCTTTGTAGACCGGATTAAGTTGCCAGCTCTCCTGTCTGTCTGTAGCGAAATTAACGACTTAAGCAGTTCGTGCTAAGTGCGTTAATAAAAACAGACGCTAATACAACTTCATTACGACCATATTGCTGTATAATGTCTATGTGAATATTCACTGGGTTCTGAGAAAGACCGTCTTAACGATCGTGGTCTTTTTGGTGATATAATTATGCAGCATTGATGTATAATTAATTAGCAATAAGAGATCTCAACACGGTAGACCGACGACCTGATAAAGGACATGAAGCTAGTTAGGTCAATCCAAAAGTACTAAAGGAAGGCATATTTCAAGGCGAGAGTGAATAGGCACTTACAGGGCAGATAATATGTGACATCCTAGACTGCATCCCACTTAACACCAGGTGCGATTGTGGTCTGCCTTGTTATGCATAAAAAAAATTTGCAGTGGACATCCTACGTTAAATTAGGATTTTTTTAAAAATCAAAGACTTACATCAAAATACTCCTCCTAAGATTATACTAACAAAGGATTCTGGGTGAAATTCGCTTCCAGCTTTGGCCTGATCATCACTTTCCATCAGGTGAGATGGAAAGTGATGATCAGGCTAAGAGCGTCCGCGTTGTGGATAAAAAAAAGATATCGCATTGTTTAAATTCTCGTGTTAGGCAACGTTTCAAGGGAAAATAGAAGAGAACAAACCATTTAATTCTCCAGACTAAACCATTACCAAAACATTGTTTTCGAGATCACAAGCCAAGTTTTGACTCAAAGGCCATCCGCAACACAAAATACATAACAACTGAAAATGCAAATTTAAGCAGATGCCTTCGTAAAACGTCGGCTCGCGGTCGAAACAGTGTCGTTTGAAGTTTTGAGCCACGATGTTAATTACGTCAAGCCATAAGCCGTATAATAAGATATTTTGCTCGATGTGGCATTCGCTGTAACGAGATAAGCGCTGGAACACAGCCCAAAGAAATAGTATCATTTGTAGCGATAAAACATCGCGCATTGTTGCAATGCGGTCTAAGAGTTCAGGCATTCAACTGCATTGTCTTGGAATCTAGCATTCCTTTAACACAAGCGGAGATTAAGATAACATTGCATTGTCAAAGATAATGATGATCTACATTTGATAGAGCTACACAAATGCATAAAAAACGAAGCTAAAGTTCGAAGTAGACATATTATTAGCGTTGCAAAACAGCACAAGATTCTATAGTGAAGCCAAACATGCTGGTCAACAATGGATGTTTGTCTCTTGAAAGGGACGTGTATGAGTGCCCTGAAAAGGGTCTGCATACATACTAATGAAGACTTAGGTAGTACCTATATTCAGTTTAGATCCAGAGCCCTAGAATAGAAAATACAAAAGAATAACCTAGCTGTTCTCTACTAGCTATGGCAAGCTGAATCGCCATGGAATTTTAAATATTCCACCCAAAGGCAGAATGTTAAAGGAAATCCATTTCTGTCTCGTAATCGTTTAAATCGCACCGTCGTCAAATTAACATCTCCACTGGCTAATTGAGGTTATGCAATTCATTTTATAATTTATTCTCGTTGTGTTTATAGTCTTGACCACGCGGCATTCGGACGTTGTATTATTTGGAGTTTAAGCTGATAATTATTTGGGTTATTCCGTATTCGACCCATGACAACTCAACCCATTTCTTCACTCATCCCAAATTAGTATTCCTAGCTCAACCCATTACATAATTTCGTTATTCTACCCAAATGCATTCCTTACTCAACCCAAAGTAAATATACCAAAAATAAGTATGGATAGCAAAACAACATTTACTGTTTTTTCAGAAATTTAATAATGATAAATACATACTAGTATGTACATTTATTTATAATTAAATAAAAAACATCACCTACATGAAAAATTTTAGATATGAGTATGTTGATTAACTATTGATTAACTAAATATATCAAAGATTTTATTATATTTTAAGGTAATTACATAAACAAATTAAGAGGCTCAAAACTTATACCGCGGGATTAGCTGTCCACATGAATATTTTTATTATTTTTCTTTTGTCATCTCATACCGATTGAAAAAAAAACATAAAATACATTGTATTATTTGAAATATTTGTACATTCATGAACAAGTGTCTGGGGAAAAAATTATACGCCATAGCTTGGTTATACTGATTTAATAAAAAATCAAAGTCGTTTGATTTATAGTAGATTTATAGTGGATTTATAGTAGACTAATTAGTCATTATTTGATTTGTTTCCTTTTGTGAAAAACGTTTTTCAAATATATTATTGTATCAGAACTCCTGCAGTTTTATTTAATAGAACGATCTTAACACAAAAGTTAACTGAGCTTAAATTTCTAAAAAATAATATATTTTTATTCTGACCGTCCATATAAATCTTATATTTTTAAATGGTTTTAAAATGGGTTGAGCTAGGAATGTTTTTGGGGTGAATAAGGAACATAAAATTAAAAATTTGTTGTGGATAGAGTGAGGAACAAAATTGGGTTGAGTAAGGAAAAAATAATAAGTGGGTTGAGTTGTCGTGGGACGAATACGGAATAACCCAATTATTTCATTTAGATTTGACGCAAAAGACATTTGACGAGACGCAAAAGGCATTATTTAAAGTGTAATCGATTTAGTTATCGGTGTTATTTTTCTAAATTTCTACTGACCAAATGATTATTGTATTTAGATGCAAAGAAACCCCGAGGGTAAAATCAAGCTATTCATAAACCGTGAACTTTATGTGCTGCTAGGAAAACTTTATTAGTGTTTTATTGTCCAAAGAAGTGACAACACCGTTAACATTTACGGCGTTAGACAGCCAGTCTGTCTGCGACCTACGTCACGACCCAAACATGGGAGACATTTACGGCAAATGAGACTTTAACACCTATCGCATTAGGCGGGTAATAGCTTGTACTTAGTAATGTACCGGTTAGTCGTTAAGTTGACCTAGTTAAGTTAAATCCAGACCATTACCTTAATTCACTTGGTCTATGGTCTAATTTAGACTAGCTTGGGATTTAGATTTAGCACTGCCGTGATAGACTTACTAACGATACAGAGACGAAATACAGTGTGAGTCACGATAAAGTACACATATGAAATTAGGTGAAACGATCATTGCAAACGCAATAGGGATTATTAGGGATAGAGACATGCAATTTTTGGTTTTACGAAGGTAATACGATGGAGAATAATACAAAGTAATAAAAACTAACTGTTATAGGGAAATTTATCAAATAACCAAAAAAACATGATTTAAAAGCAGTTTTTTTTTTTTTTTTAATTTTTTTATTGTTTGATGGAAGAAAAAAATTAAAAAAAAAAACAAAATTTTTTTGACCTCTTTTTTGTCAGTAAAAATAGGTCTACTTTTACCTAATTTCATATATACACTTTATTGTGACTCACACTGTATAAAGGTCATCTTCAAAATACCTTATCGATCCAGACAGCTAGATTTAGAGGTTTTAGAAATGGCACGTTCTTTAATAGGTTAATAAGCTTCTGACATTTTAAAAGCTTTTGCATGTTCGGTAAACATTATTAGGTATGCTCTCTGTCTGTATGTGAGAGGTTTTAATAATTCTAATAATTTCAAAGCAAAACAGAAATTTTCATGACTACATAGAGGATTTTCTTTGGCATTTAGTTGAACCAAAAATAATTTATCAGTGGAAAACTAAGTAGTAGGATGATAAAATAGTAAATTTTCTTAGTCTCTTTTTTACACAGAGAAAACTAAAATGGCATTGCAATCATCTACCTAGATTTAGTTTTTGTCGTGCGTGCTTAACGGCTATTGCAGACATGACATCTATTAAATTCTTTGAAGTTGTATTTAAGCAAATGGCGATGCTGACAAAAATAATTACAACTTGTTTAGGATAGGTTTAGTTCTTTTTTTTTTCATTTCGTGTCTTGTAAATAGCAATTGTACTTTTTAGTTTGAGTAGTACACATTACAACACAATTGATACATCTATAGTAATATTATAAAGAGGAAAGATTTGTACCTATTTTTGTATGTTTGTAATGAATAGGCTCAAAAACCACTGAACGGATTTTGATGAAACTTTGATGTTCATAATCCAGTATAACATATAGGCTATAATTTATGACGATCTGTGACAAACGAAGTTTCACGCGTGCGAAGCCGCGGGCGGAAAGCTAGTGTTAAATAAGGTAATATAACTTTCTTCTTCTATCGTGTTATGCTTCAACCACACCAACGCGTGCTCGCGCCGGCGATGGCGATCTGCACGCTTTGGTGTGGTTGAATCTTTAGTTACGACGTCTGAGATGACAACCCGGGCCCTGTGGTGTCCGCTATAGACGGTTGTTACAATTAACTCACACCACTTTGTACCTTAAAACCCATTCTTCCTATACAAAACCAACCAAAATTCCACAGCAACATTCACTCACCCCATCAATAACCTGCTGCTTCTCCTGCAGCTGCGACTCCTGGTGGCGGAGGGTCGCTCGCTGCTTCTCCGCCGTGCTGGAGAGCCTGGACAGGACTTCTTGGTCGTGCTCCCGGGCGGGGGACGGTGGGGCGCTTGTACCTGGATACAGCAAAACAACTACTTAAGATGCTACAAGCTATAAAGCCCGGTTCGTGAGCACGTAGAATTTTGTCCAATGACCTCTAGCTACCCATCCTTATCGCTCGCGCGTAATTATATTGCTGTCGCGACTGTGCGACTTGCACCCGCAGTGAGTGTGCGAGCGCGATAGCAACATAATTACGCGCGAACGATAAGGATGGGTAGCTAGGGGTCATTGGACAAAATTCTACGTGCTCACGGACCAGACTGTAGCTGGAAATTTTGTAACGAAAAAATAACTTAATTAAAAGTGAGAGTGAGTGAGCGAGCAATACAGGCTCTCCAGGTACAGCAGATAAGAATTATCACTTCACGGGATTTATTGCAACAATATCTATTATGATAATTCTATAGTAAAAATGCAACATAATAATAAATACTAAGAAAGACTAGGAATAGCAGTTATTGTAACGACATGACACGATTTTTTTCAAAGAATACTAGCAATTTGTAAATACAAATAAATAACTAATAATCCCGTTAACCCCTCGTGGTAAGCTAAGTATGCTTGTTACGAGTGGGAATCCAATTATTAGGATGCTCCAATCTTTAGTTTAACGAGGCGTCGTCTCTACATGAATATTATACAACTAATCGAAGAGTGAGAGGGTGTGATGTGACTGATGTGAGTGAAGAGATTGAGACGAACATTTGTATCTTACACTATCTTTGGAATTTTAGCAAGTGTGAAAGATACATATCAATGAGGCATTTATAATATGCTTAATCTGATTATCACATTATTATCTTAAAATAACGTCTGCCACAAATAATAGCATTAACATAAACACGTAGGTGTGGTTATAATAAGCTGATAATAATGTAATCCAACAATCTACGAAGCCTAATCCTATCACAACTGAAATGGTACTTTGTGAAAGAAACGAAATGTACAGACGAGGGCACATCAAATTATACATTTTTGTAGCAAATTCACCCTTATTACATCTACATTAAGTCGCCACAGGCTTAGCTTGAAACTCTGTCGTCTGTACCACATGTAGGTCACTGCAGATTACGTTCACTTCTTCGTGTGAATGACCCCATCGCTCGGAATTCAAAATCAGGTGTAATATTATGTCCTTGGGATGTCATAATATCATACTATACAGTCCGCGAAAAAAGAAACTGGCAGTTTTATAAATGTAGTATGATAAACCGACTCAGAGAATGAACAGTGTTTAAAATTACTCGCAATCAAAGATAGGTTTACTCATATCACTTTGAGAAAGACAGTTCGGAGCCAATGTTATTCGGCCTAATTGTAAGAAAAATTGCCTATACGTGACAGGCGACCAGAGAGAAGCATTTCTTTACGGGTCCTTCCCGGGACAAACGTCCCCTTCATTGGTTGGGTTTTTATTAGCGATCAAGCTGTAGATTCTGGCTACAAAGGAGTTGAAGCGATGGAAACGAGATATGGGAATAGTCCAGTTTAGAGAGAAACATCTTCCTAGCAGACGCTCACTTGTTTCTCCACGATTATACAGCTGCAAGACGGCGGCGCATTTGCAAAACAAAATACAAGATCGAACGGACGGATTAGAATATCCCATCATTTCTGTTCCATTCCATTTCATCAGTTAATGACGTCGCTATAAATAAATCAATGGGAAAAGCGCCGTGGGCGACTTACTTATAATCGACTTTAGAATTACCCACGCCAGAAATAACATCGCTTCGGGGAGACTCTTTGAGTGACATTATCAAGAGAATACTCGAAGGAACAAAAGATCTCTGCCGGAAATATAAAGCTATCTTCATATTATGATAACAGACAAAAATAATACACTTGTTTTGTCCACACAATGGACATTATAATGGAGCTTCATGGTATGGCAAGCAAGAGAGAGAACGGATGTCCCAAAGTAACACACATAAGTCAAATATGAATTATCATTTTGTCAAAAATATTTTCTTGATTCTTAATTGAATGTGGATTGTTGTTACCTGTCAAATTATTGTTTCAACTACTGCTGATAACAATTAAACAATGTTAGTTAACACACCGTTTTGCATAAATTGATTCAAAATAATATCAAGGTCATGATCAGCAGCAATATGTAGCATTGTAAACTATAAGACTAAACGACGCAACTGTGCTAATATTTTTAAACCTGCATTTGTACGTAATATCATTAATAAAATTTCTTCGGGTGCCGGCTTTTCTGTATTCATAAAGACAGGATGAAAGAAAACTTCAACTTCCTGAACCAAAGGAAAAAGCAATATCGTTGAAATCCTGTTCCTACTCTTCATTAATATCAATACCAAGCAGTTTATAGTTCAAGCAAAAGCATGCCTTAATATAAAAGTGCAAGTGTTCAATTTACCATCGGCAGGAGCATTGATGGTCCGCCTGAGACGCTTGTTTTCATCTTGAAGACGCCCAACAGCCGTCACCAGCTCCGCAGATTCTGTCCGCCACTGCTCCTCGATGGCCTCTATTTCCTGGACAACAAAACATGAATTTGAATGGCATGGTACCTAATACAGTCCGCGTCAAATAGTTCGTGACATCTAAAGAAATCAAAAAGTTCGCATTACGTCGGAATAAGGTTGTGCTTTGGGTGTCACAAACTATTTGATGCTGACTGTACTAAGAAGCGCATTAGTTATGGTCCACGTAACAATGCCTTAGTGGTTGTTTGCTTCATCAATATGCGTTTTCGTGATAACGAGAAGGTGAATCCTGCATCAATGTGACTTACATATCTGCATAACTTAGATAAATATTTGTGTCAGGGAGATATCATGACAACAAATACAAGTGCTTGTTGTTATATGATGGAAAATAATAAATACAGACCAAATAAATGTAGATTTCCTGCATTTATTTGAAGCGTTATCGGTGTATTAACCTAATATAACAATTTCATATCTGAGCGTCGTAAAAACAGACTAAATGTGAAGAAACAAAACAAAAACGAAATTCACATTTTATTACATTTCACATTATTTATAGTATTTGCTGTGATTACTTAGAATGGTGTGCAATAAAGAACAAATAAAATTACTACAGTTTCACAAAGCATTGCAAGGAATGTACAACATTCCAATGGCTGCCTAACATTTGCAGATATTGTAATATACAAAAAGACTACGAATACGGAAGAACCTAAAACAGTGCGACCTCAATCTTTGTATTACGGAATGATACAGCTAGCTAAAGACAGCTTGTTAGAAAACCCAATCCTAAATAAAGAACAAGTTGTACCACTAGGTTTACTGCGGAATAACTTAAAAAGTACCCAAAACAAGCAGAATATTTAAAACTTGTATGCGAACGGAATTCCAATCGTCAGAGATGGCGAATTCCTCTTCTTCCAAAATTCTCGGAATGCACACACTTTAGGGCTGACAAATGCCACAAACTATGACCCTTGCTGGCACATCGGTCCTATAAGACAAGGGACAACGCTCAATTTGGAAGTCTCCGTGATTCATGATGACACTAAACAGGCGATTGATGGTTTGGGTCCTACATCCCAATGAAAGGGCCGACGAGAAAGCCTTCTAAACCTTGAACAGACGACAGCACATCAGACTATCATTTCTGATGCAAATTCGCCACTATCACAACGGAATAAGAGACTTCAGTCTATCTCGATGTGCTGTCGTCTCTACGTAAGCATAATCCAATAAAGAGCAATAAAATGGGTTAAGAAAATGCGGATGAATATAAAAATGGAATCTAAGGAACTAGAAGATATCTGGTTTACAACTTATCCATAAAAAGGTAAGCCAACATAAGCTGTACGAAATATCAAATATTTACGGCGGAATATTACAAATCCTATAAAGAATGACGGCTCAGGATTTTGTTGGTCGGGATATTTCGTTTAAATATTCCGCTTTATATTAAAACGTTTTACAGAAGACTTGCGAAGGGCAAATTGTTTAATATTAGGCATGCCGCAGAAAACCTCAGGACATTATAAAATTCTAGCGTATTTTCTTTGTACAAACAAAACTTTTCTTCTAAGCATGAACATAAAATAAACAGAATTTAAAATAAAAGATGAGTCACATGCATATTTAAGTCAGAACTTGAAAACATTTCAAGCGAGCGATAAAATTTATGTTAATTTACTCGAAACAAACATTATTTTATTAGTCAAGTGCTTAATGTAATGTAACATACGATGAAACCATTGTTTCATTAAACTGTTGAGATTGAATGTGAATGCAATGATCTGCTCTCTTTGGCAAGTAGGTGGCAATGGCTAGTATACTCAATCCATTGAGAAATTTGAAAAAGGGAAAAAAATGTAAACAACTCATTGATAAGGCGAAAGTAACAGTCGTTCGGTGTTGCCGTTTCAACGCAATTCAATCTACTTCATGGGTAAAGAAGATGTAACTGACGCCCGCGGATTGCGTCTTGTAATGTAATTTAGCTGATGATCAATGAAAAAGTTGTGGAATTTTGTGTTTCTTAAATCTTGATTTGAGTTCTGGAAGCACTCAACCAGACAGACGTTTATCTACATTACATACACATGCAAAATTACGACAGGCTAGATCTGAATTCGAACGGCAAAAACACCTACCCCACTTCTAGACAAAAAACTATGCAGCAGTGAAATCTCTTCTAGTATTGCCAATTACTCTAATTGAATAGGTGCATCTATTAAATAAAAAACCTATCGACTGAGAACACGCCTGAATAGAAATTGCTTTTCCAATACGCGCCCCAAGGGACCCAATAAATCAATGCAGGTTGATTTGCCAAGCCCACGTCACTGGATTGCTTGTTTTCCGTAGAGAATTTCATTTCGAAATTGAGCTAACAATTTCAAATATTCCCAAAGTAGCGTCGGGGTCATTCCATGACAAATGTTACCGAGGGTGAAAAACTAAATATGTTCTTTTCGCTTTAAATCTGATGAATTTTGAAAGTATACATTCCAAATTATAATGTGCAACAAAAAAAATCTGAAAGAAACAAGTAATTTTTAAGTTATTAGTCTTCAAAGTCTATACTTAAGTCAACTGTCTGAATGATCATTTTCTCTCTAATTATTAGTAATACGATTTAAAAAAAACTATCTATCTGTGAAACGTTTTGCCACTATATGATTCGAGGGTATTTATCATAGTATTGGTAGATAGCGTCATAGTCCCAAAAAAATTGATAATCATCAAGTTTTAAGTGTGTTTTCTTGTTACTTCGGCGATGTAACACCCGAAACAGAAAAACAGGTATTTGTTTTATTATTGTACCTTACACATGGATTAGAGTAACAATATTTGGTAAAAGTAAGGTCATGGTAGTAATGATTTCAAATACTAACTAATATCTGAGCATGATAGTAATTTAGTATGTTTCTTTCTTGATTAAAAACTGTAACACCCGAAACGTTTCGGGTATTACATTTTTATTTATATGTCGATATTGTGTGTATATTGCTTGGAGAAGTGAAAAAGTATCACTGTGAGGGTCCTTTGACCTCCCACTAGCGCTGGCATCGGAAAAGGAGTCATATTTCTCAATTTAAGACTTTTTTGAAATGTCGTCTTAACACTAAAATTAAGGTATTGCTAAAAAGTGCTGATGTTTGACATTTCCAATAAATTTCGTAATTAGAAATTAAAGTAATGCTATTTCAAGCCAAAAACAATAGAAAAAGCTATATTCTGAGGAAAAATTAAACTTGAACTTTGTATATTTTTAAAAAAATGCTGCTTCGTAATTTCAAACCAGAATTCACTCTATTTGTGTTTATTTGTTGTACTCCTTATTTTGTAGTACCTAGAGACTAATAAAACACCGATTTTATCGATAAAACGCGTTGCATTTTCGTACTCGTAACACCCGAAACAGAACCATTGTAACACCCGAAACAAAGAAAAAATTTATAAAAAAATAGTAAAACGATTTATTTAACAGTGATTGTATGTTACATGGTTTGTAAATTTAATACTTTAGAAGTCCTGTAAGTTTTAGGTATGATTCCTTAAGAAAATTCGCTAAATTTCGAGTAAATGCAGCAACAGTCAGAACATAGAGGCAAAATCTCGTAACGCCCGAAACGCATACTTTTCGACTCATATTTTCGTTATCCTACATTCTAAGCTGTACAAACTTTATTATTTAAATAAAACAGCTAAAAACGGACAGATTAAGGCACTAACATTATTAAAATACTATTTCAAAATACATGAAATTGTTGAATATGTGTGTACGAACGTAACACCCGAAACGATGGAATGACCCGTCGGTTAAATTAGTGAAGGAAATTTCAAACCGGCAGCGCATTGCAGACTGCTTATTGAATTCGTTCCAACGAGACCATAATGCGTTTACTTGAGCAAGCGTGACAGAATTACTGGGTGCTATTGATAAGGAAATGTCGAGAGACAAACTGAAGAGCTGATGGGTTTCAAATTGATTACTTTGCGAAGGAGACGCATGACGTCACATGTAAGAACCCATATTAGCCAATTGGTTTAATTTACGAGGGTGGTGCATACGTCACCGCTGTATACTTACGACCTACCTAAAGGTTATTCTCAAAGATGGTACGAAAAACAAATTGCGACTTTAGTTTGATTACTTAGGCACTCATTTCACTAAGCGACACGTCACGAAGACCGCGTCATCATGCTGAAGTCGTAGCGGACACCGAAACGAATGCATTCATGTCTAGAACCAATAACATACAGTCATCCTGGAAGAGATGCCGTATGATTTTGAACCTTACGGCCAATAACTTAGGATTACACCTATGACTATTGTCGAAGCTGTCCTACCAGTTCCGCCAGATACTCGTGAATAATCACAATATTACACAAATGAAATGCGCGTCTAAAATATGATATATTTCCACCGTACTGTTTTTATTACTCAGAGCATACCAAACCAATAATTACAACAAATCATCATAGAGTTACAAACTAAATTATATCGTATTATAACATGCACACGATTAACTTTAGTTCGACGATGAACATGCAAATGCAATTAATTCATTTTATACAATGTACTGTACTGGTGTACAATCTTCTAACTAAGCAATAGCAAAGACTATTTTTGTACACTAATATTAAAGAAACGAATTTATGTGAAAGAAAATTACTATCAAGCAATAGGAGTAGCTAAGATTATGATAGCACTATGGAATCTACTGATCTCCCCAAGAAGATTGGCGTCTCGCTCTTGACTTGCTTAGGCCAGAAGTTGCTACATGCTCTATGTTTCAATAACGGAGATCCACCTAACTTTGAGCGAAGTAAGTGAATTCACTGACGTCATAGAGTTAGAGTAGACTAATGGCAACTACCATTGCGAGGTCGTTCTGTGAGCGGTGACGTCGTATCTGCCGAAATTATGATACATTTAGTACATAGATGGAGATGATAAGGGTACTTATTAATTTCTTTGATATCTTCAATGTAAAAAAAATGTTTGGCAACTTCTGTAGTAGACATGGGCGACGGCAATTGCTTACCATCAGGTGATCCGTCTGCTCGTTTGCCTCCTATCACATAATAAAAAAATAAAAATAAAAAAAAGACAACACTTTGCTCTATTGGGTTTGCTAAACCTTTGGTAGATCACCATACCAGTAGGCCTAAGATGCGCGCGGTGATAACTTTTATCGACGTCAAAATGTATGGGCAAAATCGATAAAATAGCGTGATAACTGCTTATCGCGGCGCGCATCTTAGGCCTACAGGTGTAATGATTAATAATGGACAAGAGTTATGAAGGAGTAGGCCTTACCCTAATCAACACCCTCGAAAAGGACCTGACTCTGTGCCGTTCTTTGCCGCGTGTAAGGGTTATAGTTCTAATTTTCTACAGATATATTGAATCTATCAAAATTGTCATAAAAATTCGGCATGACGTCATGTTAAGACCACATAAATTTGTCTGTCTGTCGGTAGAGTAGCGCGTTCATAGAGTGCAATCAATAAATCTAAGAGTAGACTTAGCACAAAAACCAAAGGATATAAGCAATTACCCTATTGAGAAACACAATGCACTGAGAATTGCATTTTATAGCGATGAATGAATGAATGCACATCATTTATGAATGTGTGCTGTATTAGATTGTTCTGTATGCATGTATTGTGTTATGATTTTAAAGAATAGGTACATACTAAATTCTTGGATTCTCTGTTCAAATGTATTGAACACTTCTAATAGAAATGATTGCATAATGTGCATTTTGTTTTTACATAGAACTAATGAGTACAATGGCCTCTGAAATAGTATTTGTAATATTTAACAATAAGAAGAGTGAAAGTCATGAGCTAGTAACAAAAATTGAATAATATTTGCTATCGGCAATGGTGAAAGTTGATTGGTCATGAGTTTACAACAATCTCTTATTTATGATATAATGGAGCTGCCTTCGAATAGATTATAGTAATTATTGTGGTTTTAAGCTGAAGTAAGTAAAATAAAGTCTAAAATACTTCTTAATTTTGTATGGGTTGAATAAGTTTTAGATCATAAAAACCACAATTAAAATTATTACCATTGTCTCTTGTGTAAATGATGCAATTCACCACTTACTTTAGGATACTAAAGAGAGTTGAGTTACATTTTAAAGGACCTGAAGTTATACTAAAGAGAGTTGAGTTACATTTTAAAGGACCTGATGTGATCAATACTGGTTTTCTATCTAAACATAGACAGATGGAGCCACTTTATACTGAAGGAATTAGGTAATATTACCAAGTAAAATATGGGACCAAAGGGTTATGCCCACTTAGTATGGGACCTTTGGCCTGAGGTGGACAGACATTACAGCATGTAATTTGTTATTTATTAAATAGTCTATACCAGTAAGAAACATAATATAAATGTCATTTTGTATCCAAGTCCTTAAAAAAATTTTTTTTTGCTTAAGACTAGAAAGGTTAGAAGCAAAATAAAACACCATTTTTTATTATTATTATTCCTTTATTCATCTTACTTTCTTATTTTTAATTTTTTCTTTTTACAATGTAATTATTATCAAAAAATAAAAATACATTATAAAAACAAAAATCTTAAAAATAGTTAACCCGCTGGCAGCGGAGCAGGGCCCAGGCTACCGGTGGTCAGGGTCACAGGCTGAGGAACCTCCGGACAATGCGTGCCGTGCTGAGGATCACCACCTTTTGAATCTGACCCTTGAGCCAACCATCTAGCGAGAGCTTCTTTAGATGTTGGTCGAAGCTCTTCGCTATTAGCCCGTTTGCCGAGACATTATTATTATTTTTATCTGACTCATGGGTCAACAAAATATTGTCTAGGAACTAGGCAGGTGGAAATACATGTTCCTGATACCTTGCCCAGCTCAAAAACCACAAAATTGTCATAACATGAGCACAGCAACCTACTGTTATTCGGCCAATATAAGGGCAAATGAATCCTCGTCCCATCATGTGTTTGTTGGGGCTCCACAGCATGTGTAGCAGCTCGATCAGCTCACTGTTTACAATTTTAAATATTAAGTTAGAAGCATTTGTCTTCGCTCTTGTGGCACCCCTGTATGGGCAAAAGCCTCCTCCATTCCACTCCATTTCTTCCTGTCCTGGGCTAGGTCGAGCCAATTTTCTCCCGCTACTCTCATTATATCATCCTGTTCCTGATACCTTGCCCAGCTCAAAAACCACAAAATTGTCATAACATGAGCACAGCCTGCAACCTACTTAGTCGGCCGTTTGGTGTAGTGGTTCAGAACGGACTACTATGCCGAGAGGTCCCCGGTTCGATTCCCGGCCGGGCAGAAATTGAAATGATGAATTTTAATTTCTGTGACGGGTCTGGGTGTAAATATGTATAATATGTATGTATTTAATAAAAAAAAAAGTATATAAGTAGTATATCAGTTAAGCTAGCACCCATAACACAAGCATTGAGTTGCTTACTTTGGGGCTAGCTGGCGCTGTGTGAAATTGTCCAAGATTTATTTATTTATTTATTTATTATTACTGTTATTCGGCCAATATAAGGGCAAATGAATCCTCGTCCCATCATGTGTTTGTTGGGGCTCCACAGCATGTGTAGCAGCTCGATCAGCTCACTGCCATCAGGGATGACATATTTGGTCAGATCCCCGCAGCTGAAACAAAGAAATTAATTGTGGTATCATTAAAATTCATTCTTTAAGATATTGAGATGTGATGTCAATTTTTATCTATCAGTAAGAAGTATTTGTATATTATAGAAAAAAATATACACTGTTCAAATATATCAAGCCAATGTCTTTAATAAAATATTATGAAAATAATTATGAAAAAACTTACTTGAAGAGGTAAAATCTATTTTGAAAATTATAAATAACTTGAAAAATCGAACTGCCTAAGGCGGGAATTGAACCCACGACCTTCCGCTCGATATAATGCCGGGCGACTGCTCTTCCAACCGAGCTACTTAGACACTGGATGAACCCGTCGAAATTTTCAAGTGTAATACGCTGTTACGGCCAGCGTTTGTTTCATCAATGTTGAGTATGCCTACCCTACATGAGTTACCCTAGTTTGAGATGCGACTCTTAACGCTAAAAATTAAATAACGAGGTAAAATCTGTTCCATTATTACATTATTTTCCAATATGTGATTCTCTTTCCGTGTTAATATGCAGTCTATGGAACGTATTTGTAACAAAGATAATCCACGTTAACTGTGACCAGTGCTAGTGGTTGCTTCTTCATTTGAAATATTATTTGTCCTTGATTGGTGCAGAGCCACACCGTGGTCACGGCACGGTCTAACATGAGTGACAACATACACTGCTGTTACCAATCTAAAAAAAAGGTTTCATTAGGATTATGGTAATCTACAGTAAAGGTAGTTGATCAAATACATTGTAAAAGGTATTCAACAAGTCCACACGCTCATTCAATAACTTACCAGCTGAGGAGTCATCCACTGACGTTATAACCAACTGAACTTAATAAGCTCTAGGCTATGTCGCCTCCTCTGCATCATGTCAGCTATACAATTGATACACATCATAGGTCCCTCATGAGATTGAAGAATTTCTGGTTGCATTATCCAAAATCGGGCTGGGGTCAACATTGGGGCTCGGGTCGGAGTCCATACGTAAGCCGTGGTCGGCGTTTAGGCAAGGTTCGATGTCCGAAAGTGAGCCATTGGTCATTGGTTGAGTGAGATTCGAAGTTCGAGAGTATGCCAGGGTCATCGGGAAGGGAAACATCGAGGACCATGGTCAAAAAAATAAAGTCGTCAAAAGGGAAACTCATACAACACTCTTCTGCTTTTATTTTGGCAAAGACTTGGTTTTGAGAAATAAACAACACTCACGATGAAAAATACAAATCAAAGCGAATGACAGATAACAACAGCTGTGACAATATTTTCAGTGTTGCCATGCTAATAATGTGGTGATGAATAAAAATAATCGATATAAAAATCGATAGTATTTTTTGATGACTCAAAATAAGGTGTATAATAAGGTGTGTGTGAAATAAGGTTTCATTTAGTTATTTAAATATTTTTGGTAGTGTTATTGGAATATTAAAAACGTTTTATAAATGTCATTTTAATGNACTGTTTTGGCCACCCTGTATTTATAGAATAAATCAGCTTTTTATCGAATGCAGAAATAAATGCTAAATATAAAATTAAAGAAATTGCCGTGCTTAGCTGCTTAGAAGTTGATTTCAAAAGCTTCTTATAAATGCATTTATTTTATAACTAAATCTTTTATTTATTTATTTCGATAAACCTACCTACTTAATTGATTATTGCAGTTGCCTTCACTCTTTCTACAATTCTAAAGGCTCAAATAAGTAACTGCAAATAATAATAAAAAAGCTGTTATCTTCCTTTCCTAGACCTTCGTAGGTATAAAAGCTACAATACTTTTAATCCTAACTTATCTAACACATAAGAAACAGTAGTTACTTTATCTGTACCTGCGAACGAAATACTGCGACTGTTTTGGACTAGTTGATATAAGAATTCTAGGCATTGTCAAAATAACTAGATAAATCGAAAAGAAAGGATCATTAGCGTGTTCCTTGCCTCAGTATGAATGACTTGACGCGATAGAAAAAGCAAGATGGCCTTGAAATAAACCCTAATTTAGATGTAATAAAGATGGTAATGTAAAAAATAGTACAAGTTTTACAAAACAATAAAACTTGTATTATTGAGCAGAGACGATGCACAGCATCTGGTGAGAGAGATGCGTCTACTTCCGGTGTATTTTTTTACCATTTTATACCTTAATTGACGTCATTTCCGCAATTATTTAATAGT